ACAAATTGAGACTTGCTGAACATGAAAAAGAAGAAGGAGAAGGAGAAGAAGAAGAAGAAGAAGAAGAAGAAGAAGAAGAAGAAGAAGAAGCAGCATTACACATTAGAACAAATGAACTATTTTATGCACTCTATATAGTATATTAGTTAAGAAATCTACTTGCCAGTTTAAATTTCCATCTAAACTCACAGGGGATTTTGGGGGTTGGGGGCAGGGAACCCAGGGTCTCTGGCATTCTAGGGAAACACTCTAGCCCTGAACTCTTATCTCCAGTCATTCATTTATTTGTTTGTTTATTTATTTATGGGTTTTTTTGAGAGAGTGTTTCCCTGTAGTCCCAGATGACCTGGAACTCACTATGTAGACCAGACTGGTTTTGATCTCAAAGAGATGGGTCTGCTTCTTCAATGCTGAGATTAAAGACAGGTGCCACCATCCCAGGTGCTCTTTTTTTATTTTGAGAGAGTCTCACAAGTTAACAAAGAAGGCCTTGAACTTGTTCTGCAGGCCAGACCAGGCAGGCCTTGAACCTATGATCCTCCCTCAGCATTCTAAGTAGCTGGGATCGCAGGCCTGTACCACCAGGCCCAGCTTTTAATGGCTTAATAGAGAGCCATAAGCATTCATTAAGTTCTGTCATACTCAACAGACTCATGAAGAAAATTTAAATTAAAAGACAGCCTGACCTTTGGGAAGTTGGCAGACAAAACAGGGACAGCATTCAAGACTACTCATGGGCAAGCCACTCGTCCAGCCAGAGATAGCAAGGCCTACTTGCTATTTCACGACAAGCCTAAACTACCATCCCAGAGTCCTAGAACACGGCAAGTTCCCTGCCATCAAAGCAATCATTACCGAAATTGTGTAAAATTACACTTGTTACGAGTAGAAAATTGAAGACAAAATGCACCTCAGCTTGATGCTTGAATGTGAAAACTGAATAGGGTAGAAAAGAAATGTGGCCAGAGAACAACATCCATCTGAGCTCCTGAGTGCTACTGCTTCTCTACCACACAACTGAGCACTTCACAAAATTAATCTCATTTTAGCTCATGATTCAGGAAGTAGACATTATCGCCATTTTTAGATGAGGGAATGGAGACAGAAGAGATTTCCTAACTTTGCCAAGGTTTCTCAGTAGAGCTGTGGTTCAAACCCAGCTGTTCTAGTTTATTACAGAAGTTGCAAAAGTTTGGCAGAATTGCCAAGTGCCAGTCCAAGATAAATACACACTCTAACCAGTAACAAAAAAATGTTATTAATCTGCAATGAACTAAATCACAAAATATAAAAATCCAAGCATCACCATGGA